GTTACTTTCTAGCACACGGGCTTGTGGTTTCTAATTCCAAACGACGCATTTAACGAGCAGTCCAATCAAACTGTCTTTACCGTGGTAAGTAGATTTTGGTAAAATGAAAAGGTGGTAAATATTAAGTGGCAATGATTTAGAATGATTTTTTATATTTTGTAAGGCCTCTCAGTAGTAAACAACATTTTCTGAAAATCATGACTCAGAGGAGAGAGTAGTCAGTTGTGTGCTGAGAATTGAGGAGGAAAGTGGCAGTTCTGTTGTGAAAAAGTGGTAGTTTTGGAGTTTATATGTATTTTTTTAATTACGTTAGTTACTAATAACCTGAAGGTACCAGCGGAGTTGTACTCACCACTTTACTTACAGGTGGATTTACGTGTCGGTAGATTACAAGATCATTGGTGTTTATTTGATTTTGTTTATCACTGGATGATGGGAAATACATTTTTTAAAAACACCAAAAAGGATTCTTTGACTCAGAGAGAACAGAAAAAGCTTTTTCTTTTCGTCATTAAAAAATTTGACTGAAATGGTTGCGGCTTGCCTTCAAAGACAATATAATTTTTTGTTTTTTGTATGAAGAAAAATACAAATTGCTTTGCAAGACACGAGTGTGGGTGTCTAACATATAGGCCCAACGTTTGATGGAGGAGTGTAGATATTTAATACAACCTGACCATTTACCACCAAAAAAATAAAAACGTGACCCAAGCAACGTTTGTGGAAGCTTTTTGCAGACTTCAAGCCTTAGCCGCTTGTAAGTTGTAACATTTACTCCCTTCATTTTTATATGTAAAATATTTTAAGTAAATTACATAAATTAATAAAAGTTAATTTTTTAATTAAAAGTACAACATTTAATTTTTCTCCTATTATTATAATTAAAAATAATTTTTTAAATAAATAAATAAGAATATTTATTTCTTTTAATTTAATAAGAAATATAATGGTCCATTCATAAAAAAATATTAACAAACCCTTTTATTTAAGGATAAAAAAAATTTAAAAGATTTCTTATATATAAGGATGGAGAAAGTACTTCCTTTGTTTTATTTATAAAAAAAAACTATTACTTTTTTACTTGTTTTTTATATAAGTAAAATCACATATTTCAATAAGCATTTATCACACATTTTTTAAATCACCCCTCATAATTTACATTAACGAAAAATAATTAATGCATACTTATGTTAATGTAGAACATTTTAGTCTAATTTTTTATTTTTAAAACATAATTATTATAATTAAATCAATTTTCTTAAACTGTGTGTGATATGATTTTTTTCTCTTATATATAGGAAATGGAGAGGTAAGTGCAAATAAGTTGCTTTCTGCCTACTATTTCATTTTTATTTATAAGAGAAACTATCACTTTTTACTTATTTTTTCTATATAAACATCACATATTTTAATAAATATTTATTGCACATTTTCTAAATCGCCCCTCATAATTTACATTAATGAAAAATAATTAATGCATGCTTATATTAATTAATTTAGGGCATTTTAGTGTAATTTTTTATTTTCAAATATAATTGTTATAATTAATTATTTTTTTTTAAATTGTGTGGTACTGTTTTATATATATATATACATAAACGGAGGGAGTGCTTCTTATTTGAACCAATTAATACCACACGCAGTTGCACACACGAAACGCGCACACGCCCCAGACTAGGACCAATTAATAAAAGGATAACAGGTAGGTGACGTAAATGCCGTGCTCTCTCACACTGCCATATTAAAACGGCCGCTTGGTTATTTAAATGCGACACCATAAACGTCAACAATAAAAGAGGAGACCGTTGCTCAAATCGTATGCTTTTCACTTGGTCCGCGAGAGCAGATCTTTCTCTGCAACGGATCCTAGCATTGAATGTCTGCGGACTATGGTCCCTCATTCCAACGTTCACAAAGCAGATCCAAGGATAAGAGAAGTCACTTTGAACAGCTGAGATCCTTTACTCCGAGGTTAACTTAATTCGTCGTCGCCCACTAACCATCATCATCACGTCACCATCAGTTTCTGGTGATTTGTCTCCTTGCTTCTTCCCGGTGTTCGTTAATATAACTAAGCCCTGGGGTAAACCAAATTCACCTAAGCCCAATAGAGCCCGATAACACTAGCCCGGTGACCATCCGACAGATATTGAACGCGTTCTCATTCGGTGCTCATCAGAGCACCGAGAGCTTATCGGACAAAACGATGAGTTTCAATAAGTGAGCAGATCTAAATCATTGATTTTTACATAATCTCAACCGTCTTTTTATAATTAATATTTAATATTCTTTTAATTTTTTATTCCTCTTGCTCCCCAAATCATTTGCATTTCAGACTCGAGATTTCGCACCGGACGTATTCCTCCCCAAATCGTTTCCGTTCAGATCGCTCGCCCCAGGCTTCTTCCTCCCCAACTTGAAAAGCATTCAGGGCGTTTGCACTAGACTTGCAACAGCACTAGCAAGACGGCAAAGAGCGTTCAGACCAGAGACTTGTAGTGGTAGCATTGGCAAGACAGTAACCCTTCATGATTTGCGAATTTTGAAGGTTGAAGAGGTTTGATCATACATAAGGTTTACTTAACATAGAATACGCATATTCAACTCTCAGCATATATGTTCATACGCATATTCAATTTATTAGTTCCTTTAATTGACAACATGAAGCGAACAAGCCTAAATGCAATTCCCAGTTGGAGAATGGAATTGGAAGATTGTAGAGAATGTTTTTTTAGATCCTTTCCAAGTTTTTTAATCTAGCAACTATGTTTTTGAGTTATTCTTTTCCCCCTCCAAAAAGAAAAAAATATGATTTATGCTATTGTGATTTTTGTTAATTCTATAAATTCTGTGATTGTAAGAATGTAATGAACATGTTGATTTTCAATTTATAACATGTAGCATACTTTGTGTGATCTTAATACAGTCTTACTTGCCTTTGTGCTCATTCGATGGTTGCAATTCTGGTGTTAATGAATACATGCAGTGGCAAATGTGTTGTTCTTGGAATCACCAGCTGGAGTGGGCTTTTCCTACTCAAACACTTTGTCTGATTATGATCAAGCAGGAGATAAGTTTACAGCAAGAGATGCCTATGTGTTCCTCATCAATTGGCTCGAGAGATTTCCACAATACAAATCCAGAGATTTCTTCATCACTGGAGAGTGCTACGCTGGTCATTATGTGCCTCAACTTGCTTACACCATTTTGGTCCAACATATTTTCCCTAGACAAACCATTATCAACCTTAAAGGCATTACTGTACGTCCATCCTTTAACAATAATGCCCTTTAATTTGCTTGTTGCAACACACTTAATTACTATGAAATTTTATATAATTTGACATATTTGTGATGAAATCTCAGATAGGGAATGCTTGGATCGATGATGAAACAAGTTCAAAGGGAATATTTAATTACTTATGGACTCATGCTCTAATCTCATATGAAACCCATTCAAGTATTAATATATAAGTCTTCCTGGTTCGCTTGACACCTCACTCAGAAATGGTCCGCCTGGTTCTGTAAGTCTTCCTGTAGTTATTTTGTTAGCAATATCTTCTCAATCTGATGAGACTGTCTTTTCAATTAATGTATTGATAATTTCAGCTGTACAATTATGATCCATGCTCTGATTACTATGTGGAAGCCTATATGAATAACCCAGACGTCCAGCTAGCTCTCATGCTCTTCCCACAAACTGGACTTATTACAAGTATAATAATATAACATGTTGACATGGATGGACAAAAATCTGTTCCAATCCTCCTTGATTTTACTCTTCCCAACTCATGTCAAATGAAGGAGTTTGATAACTTTTATCAATGATGTATCTGTTGGTTGTTGTGTGGCATTACAAGACAAAAATCTATAGTTAATCAGGCTTTACCTTTTGTAAGCTTTTAAGCCTTTGGCTTGCTGTTTTTGTTCTAAAAAAAATAAAGATCAAAGAGTTTGGTCTTTGAAACCTTAATAAGGCATCTATCCATGTAATCAATTAAAACTCTTAGCATTTGTAGATATGCTAACTGAATATAGTTCTTACCCTCAGTAAATATTTCATTTACAGGAACAATAGACTGACAAAAAACAAAAGGAAGGCTGAATGGACATTTACAACACATAGACTGACAAAAAACAAGAGGAAGGCTGAAAGCTGTCCAATGATGGATGGAGATTAATTTACTACTAAATGCTGGTAGGGGCAGATGATTGTTGTCTAATAAAGCAAAGCAAGTGCCATCCAACAAAAAGAATCATACTATGAAGTCATGTGCTCCAAGAGAGGAGAGCTGAGGGTATACCATAATGTCCAAGAAAATTGTGTAATGCTTGTGAATCCAAAAAAATGGCCAGCAACCTATCTTGCATCTATTTTAATGTCCTATATGAAGAAGAAATTGTAGATAGTTAGGTTTATGTAATGTGATGTCCATATGCGATGAGACAATTTATGTATACAAGTAGCAAATGTATAAAAACTTTGAAATGAATGAAAGATTATTCCATCTACTCTTCTATTGTATACCTTGTGAATAATTTGCTGCTATAATCTCTATAGCTTCAAGAGATGGGATTGCATTTTCTTCAGGCTCCTAAATTCTAAATGATAATAGTTGTGAGTTGATGATATGATAACTGTACATAATTATTAGTATTAACTTATTTACCGTCAACAAGCTTGTAAATGACAATGGTTGAGATGTAGATGGTGCAAAAACATATTGAGTTGAAGGTGCTAAGTATGGAAATGTTGATTCTTGAGTCTGTATAAGTTCTGCTGGAATGGTTACAGCTTGTGTCTTTGTAATTTGTTTTTTGAATCTTTTCTTCTTTTCTTACAGAATGGAGCCTCTTGAATTCCCTACGCAAGAAAAATATATAAAATTAGTAACAAATTTTGTATTAAATGCAATTTAAATAAAAAACTCAATACCTCTTGGTCTTTTACAAGTCATCTTCTGATCATTAAATTTTTTTCCTCCTAAGGTTTATAACGTCGCTTTCTTTTTCTTCCTTCTCTCTTTTTAAAACTCTTTAGGCATATTTTCAAATTCTATGACTGGTGATCTACTTGGCTCACGAGTAGCATCTTCATTACTATCTGAAATTTCTTTATCTAATTTAATGATGCATCTCTGAACATGCTCAAAACTTTCAACATTCTTGGCTGTCTTTTTTGCCAATCTTCCCATTTTATGCATTAATTATCTATACCTTTGTGTGATTTCAAGCCTTAGGTCTATTTGTATCTCACTCCCTCCAATATCATATACAACATCACTTCTTGCTTCTCTAGTCCATCTCTTGATAATGTATTGCTTGGGCATAATTCTCACATCCTTCAACTCGCATACTTTCAATGCATGACAACCAATATCTCAGTGGCCTCAAACATCTGACAAGTGCAACAAATTTCATATATGTCGGGTTTTAAACTCAACTCTCCATTCTCCTTCTTCATCAATCATACGAGCAATGTATACATATGATGGTCCTTCCTCATCATGATTAGACAACATCACAGAGAATTAGAGATTCCATTATCCTTGGAATGTAATATCCCATATAAATTTAATAGTTAATTTGGGTTATAGAAGAAAAATAAAAAAAAATAAAAAAATAAATAATTTTAAAAAAATAAAAAAATAAAAAAAATAATAAAATATATTATTAATTATTATTATAATAATAATAAAAAAGAAAGGAAGAAGAAGAAGAAAACGAATTTGCTTCGTCCGCCGCCTCAACAGTAACAATAATAAAATAATAATAAAAAAAAAGAAGAAGAAGAGAGAGAGAAAATAATTAAAAAAAAATGTGTGGGACCCACTGAATTTTTATAAAACTCACCTTCCTTCATTTCCTCATTCATTCCTGCGCGCGAGCTGAGGCGGAGAGAACGCGAGTCACCGGTGCGAAATATCTAAATTTTTAAGGTAAGAGTTTTTAATAGGATATTTAGGGTGTGATTTTAAGCTTTTTAAGACTAAGTAAGTGTTCTAAAAATTTTTCTTAGTCATCCTTCTTCTTTAGTTTCTGAGTTTGTAGTGGTAGAAAATTCAAGATCTGGAAGAGGGATGAATTTATGTTGAATAAATATGATTTTTGAGGTTGTCAGTAGTATAATAAATGTTCTAGAGTATAAATTTATTGATGATCTTTGAATCTGTGGCTTATGGATCAAATTTTAAACTAGATCTGAAAATATATGTTGATTTATTGAGGTTTAGATGATTATTTGGGATGAGAGAAATAAATTATTATGGCTATAGGATTATGATTCTAAACTAGAGACTCAATTTTTAATTTTTGGGTATTTTAGGTACGAATTTATAAAATAAAAAAAATTTTGATAATAGAAATTAGTTTTAAATTTGATTTTTAGATTATTAATGTTTATTAATAATTAAAAGAGGAGTTAAAAATTATACTTAATAGTATTAACTATAGATTTGTATTAAGATTGAGATTAGGAATTATGTTATATTTTTAATTCTATTATTAGAATTATTTTATTAGTTTCAAAAATTGAAACTAATATTTATAAATAATATGTTATTTGTAGATTGTATTACTGGTGAAGATTGTGGTGAGAGAGAAATTTTAAGGAATAATTTATTGAAAAAGCCACAAGGTAACCATGCTTTTAATTTGTGATTAGTGTTACTTCATGTTAATTGGGTGATTATTGAGAAAATTATGAATTTTATAATATTGTATAATTGTGCAATATTATTATGAATTTGTTTGATTATTGTGGGAGGTGTTGGGAGACTTGCTATTGTTGTTGTATTTATGTGCCACGTGGTATGCCCCTATTGGAGCTCAATAGGTGGTTTGTAAGGGCTCGGGCTAATCTACCTTTGGCTGGGTAATTTAGCACCGAGTGAGGGCTACGGCTCGAGGTTAATGGAGGGATATAAGGATGGTTGTTTGTTTTTATAATATTCCTTATATTTATTGGAATTATATTATTTTTAATTCTCACTTAGTAAGCACACACTTAACTGTTTGTATACACTATCATAAATTGGCTTTGGTTACTGGGACTTTTGAGTCTCATTATGTGGTTAACAATTTTCAGGAGAAGAGGCCACAAGTGACACGTGGAGGAGTCCCAGAGACTTAGTGGTATAGATCCACTGTCTCTTTTGGGTATTTAATTTATGATTTATAATGTGTTATATTGCCAATATTAGGGCTTTTTGTTTATTGTCAATTATATGAATATATAAATGTAATCATGCCTTTCAAACTATTTCTATTTTTAGTACAATTTGGATGACTGTAATTTTAATATTTGGTTTACTTTGGATTGGTTAAAATGGCATGATTATAAGGCCAAATAACTGGCTTGTGTTGAAAATTGACTAAATTGCTTATTTTACTTGTTGGGAGTATAAGGATGGACAAATGTGATTTAGTTTACTTGTTGGGAGTATAAGGATGGACAAATGTGATTTAGCCTAATGGCATGTGGGAGGTAAAAATTTATCTGAAATGTTATAGTGTGTGAGTTGAAGCCAATTATAAAATATTTTATATCGAAATTATTGATATTAAAATGTGTTGGGTGGCTGTAACCCAACTATGGTTGAATTAAATTATAAAAAAAAAAATTTTTGGTGTGTTACATGGAACATGTCAAAGGCATTGGGGGTATAAGTTAGCACAAGTTGGCGCAATATAGGTGCACTTTGATTAACCATCCTCGGTATTTGTTGTCGAGAATCAAACTCAAGCTTCAATTCCTTGTCTTGCTCCTCTACAACAACTTTGTTAAAAGTGGTAAAGAATTCATTTATAGCTAAGCCCGGTGTTGTGCATCTCTTCACATCAGCATTCACACTTTCACTAAGCTGTGTACTTCTCATACCTAGAGTACGATGATTTTTTACATAGCACCAAGCCCATTTCTCTTTAATCTTATACATGGATATCAACCATGTATTCTCATGGACATCATAAGAAGAGATTAATTAGCTCCATGCTTCTTCAAACTTATCTTCTTCTAAAATTTTAGACATGCATTTACAGAAATCAGTTAAAAAATGTGATCCATCTTTCATTAAATTTTCCAAGTGTTTGATGCCATTTTGCTTTAAATGCCAAGTACACAAACAATGCTTTGTGTTAGGAAGAGTTTCATTTAAAACTCTTGCCATAGTTTGATCTTGATCTGTAAACACAGTTTCAGGCTTCTTTTGCATATGAGCATCCAAGAAAGTTTCTAATAGCCACTTGAAAGACATAGTGGTCTCATCATACAAAATGCTGCTCCAAAAATGACTGCACTTCTATAATGATTAAAGCCAGAAAAGATTGTAAGAGGTCGATGATCACGGTTTGTGTAATATGTTGTGTTTAGAGATACGACCTCACCAAAAAGTGCATAGTCTATTAGCATTCCAACATCTGCCCAAAAACACATTGGTGGTTTGTTCTTTTGTGTCCACCTAATATTTATGGTAGAATGTAGGATTTACTACAAGTTGTTTTTGAAAATATTCAAATAGACACCTTACCTCTCCATACTTCATACTTCTTTGCTTTTCTTTTTGCAAATAGTTTTGCATATCTACTCGAGTATATCCAAGACTTGATTTACCTCTAACATATGTACTCATTAAGTCAAACGTAGCTTTTTGTTAGAGCCTAGACTTTCTTGCCAAATCAATCCCATAAGTATCAACTTCTGATAAATTTCTTTGAGAGGCTAAGAAGTGCCTTGTTGCTGGTGTGTGCAAGGGATGATTATGCTCTTCATCAAATTTAGTGATTTTATACTTTTGATCAATAAAAGACATTATCATTCTTGCCTTACAGTTAGTCCTTGTCTCTGCCCGATACTTGAAAGAATATGTCTCTTTTTACCTTCTTTCCGACGACCTTCCTTACAACATACATATCGATATGTAATAAGTGAACCATCTTTTCTGCTATTTGTACCATTATACTTTCTAGGTCCAAACCCAGTGTTTTTAGCATATTCTTGCCAAAATTCCCATGCCTCTTACCAACTTCCAAACTCCCTTCCTATTTTGGGTTCCAATTCATCCTCCATCATAAAGTCCCTGTGCAAAATAAAGTCAACTCCATTTAAGTTATATCAAATATTCAATTTTTTAAGAAAAATTCATAAAACATAAAATTATAATCTCAACTTTTTAATTAACTCCTTTCATCTTATATATACATGTGTGTGAAATATCAAGTTTTATATATGCGTGTGTCCATATATATAGCAATGTCAACGTGTATATTTATATACATACATGCATATCGCTAGCGTGTATATATACACATTCACTGCAGGTTTTAACTGTGTTTTTTCAATGAAGTTTCAGCTTTTCAATGGGTGTTTGTGTGTGTATCATATAACTAGTGTATTAGTTTTATTGTACCCACTGTCTTTGTCCTTCCTTCTCTTGTTGAGGTTGTAGCGATCCATTTCTTCCTTCCTCCTCTTCTCTAGCTTGCATCAATCCTTCTATTCCTTCTTCTTCCTCTATTTTGATGCAATTTCTTTCATCGTCTTGCCCTGTTTCAATGCAGTTTCTTCCATTTTCTTGCTCTGTTTTTGCATTTTGAACTGTGTCGTCCATCTCTGTTCGTCTCTGAAGTCCTGCGGGAAAATTTGGAGAAAGGAAACAAAATCCCACCCAACCAATGAAAGAAAGAATTCTGGATGATCGAACGGTTAACATTAATCTATACCAACGGTCAGGATTCTTTTCACAGAAACTCACCGTTTTGTCCGATGAGCTCTCAGTGCTCATCACTCTGATGAGCACAGAATGAGAATGCGGTATTGAACATCCAATAATGAAAATCATAATTAGATAAGTATTATTTTTAAAAATTTAATGTTTTAATTTTATAAACTAAATTTAATGATTATATCATGATGAATGTAATTCCATATCATAATTTTATAAACAGAATTTATGTTTCCTGTTAAAATTTAAAATATAAATTATAAATTTATCATAATAAAATTATAAAATTGAGAGATTGAGTTATAAATTTTTAAAATTTAATAATTAAAATCTACTCTAAATTAATTGACTCTTTTGATATCTCTTGTCATTCTTCCCTTATAAACATCATCATCGTGATTGAGGAACAGGTCATCTCATGTCTTTCGATATTTTATTTACTACTGAATTGACTAAACGTGACTTGGTGGCTATCACAGAAAACTCCATCATTGTTTTGTATCCGAAATCTATTCAAAACAGCTGTTAATTTTATTTTGTTAGATATGTGAATGTGGCTTACATCTCAATTAATTATTGTTTACAATTGTTTTTTTCAAAAAGGACGTCTAATGTAACTCTCACTTGTTTTGTCTTATAAAAGGAGATGGAGTCATGGAGGGAGTATCAATTATGCAATTCTAAATGCCACTTAAATTAATTATACCACGTTGCTTGTTTAATTTATATGAATGATAACTTTCGTTATTGCGTGTTATAAATATGCAACTTTGTTTTAGCTAATTCTTATTTTTCTATTAGACAAGTAGATTATTCTAATCTCAAGCACGGGTCTTGTAAATGAAAATTGGATGGTTTACAATCAAAGGATCTGAACTTGCAGCGTCTTTTTCAAATAAAATTTGGAAACATTTCTAAGTTCTACTTCTTCGGGATACCGACTGCGAATGCCTTTCTTGGAGATCAACTTTATTCTCCGGCACCGAGTTGGCCATGTCACCTGCTACCTGAAAAAACTTTGCAAACTCGTTGCTGGACCCTTGCGTAATTACATCTGCCACTTAGTCCCCCACCCCCCCAAAAAAAAAAAAAAATTCTATCACTATGTGTGAAATCTAGCAGATTTCTATTCTCACTCAAAATTAATTCAATCTCTCACCATGTGAAATTATTATTATCAACCATGTCTCACAAGTATATCAAAAACGAATATCTTTAGTATATTTATTTAACATGATTGCTTACCTTAAAACTCGAGATTACAGAATGAGCAAATTCAACCTCATGGACACCAATTGAACGAAGCACTCTCCTTGTCTGTCGCTTAGTTCTAATTTCTTGTCTTTTAATAAAATTATTTTTTAATCCTAAAAAATTAAAATAATTACGAAATATCGCCAGGGGTTTTGGTCTCCGCTATCCATTTCCTTTGCAATCAGGGTTTTAGCCCATTTTCCGGCCTTCGCTGCTCGTGTCTCCGATTCGTCCTCAACTCCTGTGAGGCCCGAGCCATGGAGTCTCTGGCCAGACTGCATCACTGTCACCAACCGCTTCCCCTCTCACTCAATCACCTTCCTTCTTCTTCACTGTCAGTACCCATATTTTCCGTCTCCTTCAGGTCTCTACCACCCCGTGTTTCGCCTTCGCAATTATCTTCTTCGTCTTTCAGGTCATCTTCCATCATAGCGGCATCCTCGCCGTCAGAATCATTCTCTGATTCTGCTTTCGGTAGATCCAGAACCACAATACCGCAGTCCTTCCAAACCCTAAACTCCCTTTTCTCACCCGTCGTCCGAACCACCTGTACCATCATAGCAGCGGCTGCGTTTTTCTACATGCGTCTTCACCACAAGCCCGCTATGGCAGCCCCGCTTGAGATGCCTAAGGTGGAGTCGAGTGAGGAGTCGATGGAAAATTCTTCGAGTGAAGAAAATCATAGAGCTATTGAAGAGAAATTGAGAAACAATCCCAATGATACTGAGGCTCTTCGGTCGCTCATTGAGATAAAGGTCAGAGCGCGCAAAGTTGATGAAGCAATCCAGGCTATAGACCGTTTAATTGAGCTCGAACCGGAAGAGTTCGAGTGGCCATTGCTGAAGGCTCACATGTATGTTTACAATGGTGACTACGAATTAGCCAAAGAGAAGTTCGAAGAAATTCTAACGAAAGATCCCTATCGTGTCGAGGCCTATCATGGCCTAGTAATGGCAACTTCGGAGTCGGATAAGCCATTGGAGGATTTGTTAAAGAGGGTTCAACAAGCAGTGGAATTGTTCAAGAAACAAAAGCGGGAATCGGAGGTCAGGGATTTGAGGCTCCTGATTGCGCAGATTAAAGTAATGGAGGGAGAATTTTCTGATGCGCTGAAGGCCTATCAGGAGCTTGTAATGGAAGAGCCGAAGGATTTCAGGCCTTACTTATGTCAGGGTATTATATATACTCTTCTAAGAAAAAAAGATGAAGCCGAAAAACAATTTGACAAGTTCCGGAGGCTTGTCCCTAAGAACCATCCTTACAGGGAGTATTTTGAGGATAATATGTTTGAAATGAATGTAATTTCACAGAAGACACAGAGGGAGGGAGCGGGTGCGAAGAACTGAGATGACTTACCAAATTTCTTCAATAGATGACCACGGGATGGTTCCATAGGGAGGTTGTCTTTTTCTTTCTTTTTTCCTTTTTTCTTTTTAAATTTTCTCTTAATTTCTTTTTACACTCTTTGAAATTGATTTGTTAAATGTTTTGGATAGTGATCTAATTGATATACTCTTGATGGTTGGATATGAATAGTACAAGTTCGTAGGGTCAACATTAGCGGAGCTATTTTGGTGATGAAAAATGCAACTGATGCACTACAGCATTAGCCTCCCTCTACATAAGTATTTGGATGCTATGGGATCCTTAGTTGTATTCGTTTTTTTAAATAATAATAATATTGAACCTTTTCTTATGTTTTGAGATGTAGCTGAGCGTGGATAACAGCTCAACGCCCCAGTTATGCTCGTTTGCTTTGGTTCTAAGCCTTTCCTGTCTAGTTTTAATCTCCCCATGCTGCATCTTCTTCGATTATTCTGGAAAGCATGTTCATGTTTTAGTAAAGAAAGTACACAAAGGTTCCCACTTGATTGTCTTGTTTCGCATCTATGGGCTCTAAAGTTAAAATCGCTCAAGCGTGCTAGTTTGCGCTTTCATTGATGATATGTGCTGTTTATGCTTTGGGGTCTTTATGTGCTGTTTAGGCTTTGGGGTCTTTATTCTAATGCGAGGCCAATTGTATCTTTCGCAAACTTGGTGTATAATCTTTTCCTTAGTTTGTTTCAAGTAACAAGGTAGGTAATATGTGAGCTGTTGTCTTAAGCCATGCATGCTCGTATTCGTAGTACTGGCAAAGTTGAAATGAGTTGTGCTCCACGCTAATCTCAGTTGTCTGGAGCATTTCCTGATCTATGTAATTGCCTGCTGAACTGATTTTATCAATGGAATGTTTTTGTGAACTGGACATTATGTTATTAATTGCATTATAAACCATGTGAGTGTGGCATAGTGGCTATCTTACTTCGTCCCTTAAGCATGTAGTGGGGGGTTTGATTTCTCACTCATACGAATGGAAAACACTTTATGGCCAGTCGTTTGCTCCCTTGTGGAAGATCTCATGGTAAAAGAATTAGTCACCGTTACCGGCGGTGGATACCTTGAGCAATAAAAAAAAATTGCACTTTGGCAGGAAAATAAAGGAGGCCAGTGACGAAGCTTAGAATCAAAAGATGGGGAGAAAGAGAATCATGAATGACACTGGGGTCAACTTTGGTTGCTCGTTGAAAGACGATGCCCGAGTTTTCTATATTAAGAGCAAAAAGATAAAGGACAATAGCTTGGGAAATTCGTGGGGTAAAATTTCGGATGCATGTTAAAAATAAATATTCATGGTTTTAAATTTTATATTTTAAAATTACTCCAAACACATTAAAAATTTAAATTTTGGTACAGAAAAATTAAACACTATGTGGCATAACTTTTTTTTTATTCAATATTTTAGTGTGTAGTCTTATATATTTAATATATTTTATTTAATCAAATTAAAATAAGTAAATTTTAATATTAATTATATTAATAAAAAGCATATGTTGAGAAATAAATAATTTATAAAAGATCTATATGTTTTGATTTAATAAAACCCCCCCTTCAAGACGTTTTCTCAATTTTAAAATATTATTGAACATTAAATATAAATGCCTATTTTGATAAGAATTTGAATTTTGATTGTTACATTATATGGCCCATTTTGATAGATCAATCTACTGTTTTGTTTTTTGGTGGTTTATTGTGGTTTTATTTGGATCTAAGGCTGTGTCAGTCCAGAACGAGGATAAAAACCAAAAAAAAAAAAAAGCTCGCAATAGGGATGGCTGTCCTTTTTCCTCCTCCTCCATCTTGTTAGCTCCTACGACGTCGTGCAATGAATTTTAGTATTTTACTGTGCAAACGAAATTGGAGGAGGGAAAAATGGAATGAATAAAGTAGTTCAAATTTTTGTTTTGGTGAGCCATCAAGCTCTTGTCCCCTCTCCTGGTTGCACAGAACCGTCCCACTGGAGTCCAGGAATTTTTCTACCTTTACCAATTTAATTTCTTTTATTTGGAGCCTCCGTTTTGCCTAAAGATTCTCTTGCCTCCTGGGACATTAATTCCTGCTATCCGAAAGTGTTCTCTACCCTATATAAGCTGATCCGAAATTTGTTTGAATTGTTTTCTAAATCCAAAATTATTAAGAAGAGAGCTGGGAAACGAAGGAATTTTAATTTTAATTTCTTCTCTTTCCCATTTTTATTTCTCAATTACTGAGTAGCGAGCACTCTCTCTTCAATTATCTGCTGTGATGTAAGCGGTAATCTATAGGACTTGTATGATTTGAACTGCAAAATAGTCAAGCTGATCCCCTTATACTACAATGCTTTTCAGAATCCTATGAACAGCTGGTGAGGCCTGGTTTGGTTTTTCACGATAACTGAACAAAATTACCTTGAAAAAGGACTCAAACCTAACCCACTCCGGATAGAAGCAGAAACTGGAAAGATTAAGGAAGTGCATCATATTGGTTGTAACCTAATCCTCAGAATTTTGGCTATAGGGTTTGACTTAAATTGTACATTGCGCGAAATTAGGTCCCGAACAGAATGTTAGGCCGGCCCTAAACTCGTAGGTTTAGTTTGCCCTTTCGGGTTTTGGTCTTAATCTACAAGATTCATCGTCTTACAAACTCAGACAGGTCGCACATTAGGCTGCAATTTGTGTAGTTTAATGGAATATAATGAGTAATGCCCGGATGTTTTTATCTCCCTGTGCTCGTCAAAGGTTTATCCCCTCTCATTCAAACGCCATTATTGTATGGACCCAGGTAATTAAGCCAACTTGCTTTAATTAATTAGTCGTTCATATTTGCCATCCCATGCAAGCTTTTAAATCGAATTACTGTAAAAAAAAAAAAAACATCATAGAGATTCTTGTTAAAGACACAAATCCCCATACCCGCGCGCGCCCCTAAAGGGCCAAGAGATGTGAAAAACGAACCGGAGTCACTACTAACATGCGATCAGTAGCATTTCAGTTATAAACAATTGCTCGTGTTTTGGTTTATAAGATAATTTTAAAGATGCCCTACTTCAAAATATAAAATAATTTAGTAAGAATAAATTTTTATTAAATATATATTTTTAATGTTGTTCTTTCCTTTTTATTATATTATCTCTTTTTTTAATATTTATATTAAATGAATGATATTTTTTAAATTATATATTTTTATTTTAAAAAAATAAAATGATAAAATATATTTAACAAATTTTATGAGCTGAGTATTTGAAACTTAAACTGAGACGTAGTTAGAGTATAAATGAACTTGAAATAATAATCAAGGATCAATGAGTGAGGGTTCAAATCTTGAAGAATGGCAAACGTAATAATTAATGTAATTTTAAAGAGGTCATTCTATCAATATTTTGCTATCATCGTAAGATCTCCTTACAGAGGTTTGAATTAATCTAGAGTCAATAATAAACTTAGAATATCTCAGGACGTCGAATGGTTCATATCAAAAATAAAAAAAAGACCAAGTGTCAGGCTTCCTGTGTGGGGTAACCAATCATGCAGTAATTTGGGGGTGTCTCCCGTGTCTTTCTGTCTGGAGGTGGCAATTAACAGAGTGTGTCAGGAGGGTCAACCATTTTGATGAAATAAACGAGGTGGCAGGCAGTGATTGGGCTATGAATTCGCAAGGCCTCCACGGACAATAATAACATTACTTGTAGTAAAGAAAGACACCATGATTGTCCATAGTCCAAGTTCTCTACTTTCACATGCTCCTAAGAAAGAAAGAAAGAAAGAAAGAAAGGAGATAAAGAAGAGCCCTTTGATTGATAATTAAAAGGATGGATATGTAGAAGCTCCCTAATGATTGTGACCCCATTCACCTTCGCTTTGTAACCACCTTTTTTATTTGTGGGTACGCGTCGGAGACAGACAACCATCATCTTTCTCCTTCCCCCTGTCTTTTCCTTTGGATCCAATGACCTCCTCACTGAATCCTAAGCCACTTCCCTTCCCCAACTCCTAAGCATCCTCATTCACCATTTAATCAGAATACACATGACCAAACCAAATTATTCGGCCCCATAGTTTGTTAACCACCACGTTATTGACTTTGTCCCTCTAATAATTTTAACCTCTTTTGCAAGTCAAATAATGCTCATGCAAATATTGTCCCAAAAGGTTGTGAGCGTTGGATCAGACTATTCCACTCACTCTGCATTCTTTTTAAAACTCTTTGTACTCAGTCTTTATTGGCGGTGACGAAGACAAATTCGTATATGAATAGCAAAATGAGCATGGAATCGGTATAGACGCGTGCACATGTGATCGTCCTTGTCATGTCCCTTTTGACTTGCCTCTTTTCTTCCCCCTGCTGCAGGATAAGATCATTGCTACTATAGCCCCCCTTTTGTTTCAGTGTTGTCGTAGTCTCTCCGTCATCGTCCACAACCGGAATTAAAAAAAAAATAAAATTAAAGTATACAACTATTTTCACCCTCAATCGGCGCCTTATTATACGAGATGACCCCAAAATAACACGATGATCAGAAGAACTGGTTTTCCGTTTACAATAAAGTTACACTTTTTTCCTCTGGAGACGAGAGAGGCTCTTACATACCAGGAGACTCTAGCTAGTTTCTTTGCGTAAAATTTAACAGCGACAACGCACAAACTCTTTTGGCTGTATAGATGGGGAATCTAAACAAGCATCATGTTGTTGAAGGAAGGTGAAATAATTGACGTAGGCATAGATGTAGTGTATGAGGAGCAGAGAATAATTTATGCTGTGGGCATTGAATATGTGGGTGATGCGACCGAGAGATGCCCTTTGATTAAGGAAAAATAGCACTTGTCTCTCCTAGCCCTATTAAATATGTACGTCTTCAAAGACCATATTTGCACACAAGGCCACTAACTGGGCCCTTGTAATCTAATCCCTTTCAACGAAATAATCTTCTTAATTAATTCGCCATTAATTTTGCTCTTCTGTTGTCTTGTACTCTGCATTGAAGTTTATAGCCTCTCACTAAATACTAATGTTCTCGTAAGGAAACATATGTCGGTGATATTGTCGTTGTTCTCGCTCGTGTAAATTTCCTTCCCATCTAAAAGCATGCGCATTAATATGCATTGGGTACTTCTAATTTTTTTCTCGTACATAAAAGTTTCATGAAATTTGAGTACGCCTCGGTCCTATTGAATTCCAGCATCCACGAATTTTTACTGCAATTGGCTGCTTGTAAATTGTAGTGACTATACTTTTTTTAACAAAAGTCAGGAAGTTTAACTCTAGCCTGTCAATGGACGGTAGACTAATCGGTGAAGAATCCATCCATACCAAGCAAAACATGTTATCTTGTTGTGGATATAGATATTATAAAAAGCTTCTTAAGACACAAAACTTACACCAAATAGGGATCAGTTCAGACTTAATTCACCTAAACTAAAAAAAAATAATAATAATAGTAATGGTTTTGACAAACGAAGTCAGTTCTTTGGAGGCGTGGAAACAGAACCTAGTGAGGAAGTCAGGGAGTCAGGGCTTCCCCCTTGGAAGAAAACAAGGGACGTTTGTCAGTTTGAAAAACACAGGTGGAGCATCCCACAACACAACAAAAAACCTGCCAAATGCTTCCATTTTAAATACAGAATTTGTCCCCTTTCTCGTTTTCAACGCGCGCACACACACGATATCCACTTTTCAATTCTTATAATGAAGCAACACGCGCAGAACCCCTTCCACCTTATATTTTACTTCCTCCACTTTTATATGTAACAGAAAAAAAATTATATCACACACTTAAAAAAAATTAATTAATTATAATAATTATGTCTGAAAAATTATATCACACACTCAAAAATAATTAATTAATTATAATAATTATGTCTGAAAATAAAAAATAAAATTAAAGTACTTTATATTAATTAATCTGAACATACATTAATTATTTATTATTAATGTAAATTATAGAGGGCAATTTAAAAAAATATGTAATAAATATTTATTAAAATATATAATTTTACTTGTACTAAAAAATAAATAAAAAGTAATAATTATTTTTATAAATAAAAATATAGTACAATGTAATTAATATTAAGACTGACGACGCCGCGAGTGTTTACCTCCAATTGCAGCAGCCACGCACGCACCCAGATTTTGCTCAGACTGTCCGCTTTTCTATAATTATAATCACTCAATTTGTTACTTCATTTATTCCTAACCGCATTAGTTTCAACCTTAAAAGCGTGTCTCCCAAGTTTCAAAATAACACATCTGATCCATCTTTGACTATATATATATATATATATATATTATTATAAATTGCTGTGTAGTTAAAATTCCACATTATGTTTTCTTTTACGTGTGTTATTTGTTAATTCACACCCTTTGGACTTTGATCCATGATATAGGACAATTTTTAGAAATTTTGCCCAACCCAAAATACAGCACGATGTGTCATGTTTATGACTTTTACAGATGATTTCCTTCATCTCTCTATCTATTATTATCACTGTTCCTTGTAATTAAGGATGCGTATTTTAAAGGAGTCAACTATTTAAAGCTAGGCCTTACATCACCCGAGGAAAAATGAGGAATGTATAAAACCATCCAGGAGATTGGGATTTTAATTATTAATTTTTTAGAATAGCAAGGTAATTAATGTTGTCTTGTATTGTGGACTATAAACAACGCATTAGATGTGTAATTAGTTCATATGGTAATAATATTAATACATTCAAAATATCTAAATCCATCTGACAACTGCTTAATTGATCCAATTGAGAGTTTTATTAGTAATAACTAATAATCTGGAATTTAAATACTAAACAGCTACATTAAATATTCATTGTTAAATTTTTGTCTCCCTTTGTTTCCTCTTGACTCAACTAAATTAATGGGAATTCCATTCAACTTTTAAAAATCATTTTAAAAGTTACAATGGCGTAATAATAATCAATATATTAATATATAGAGTATATACAACACATGAAAAGTTTATTATCAATAAAACTCGATCATTTTATTATTATTCAGTAGCATTTATTACAGAGATAAAATATTTTTAATGATATATCTTTGGCTAATTCCATCCGTTTTTTGGGTTAAAATTAAAATTAAAATTAAAATATTACTTTACTCCCTCTATTTTTATTTATAAAAAAATTATTATTTTAGTTTTTTTTATATAATCAAAATTATATTTTTAATAAGAATTTATTGTAAAGTTTTTAAGTTATCCCGAATAATTTTATTATTTATAATTATAATAAATAATTAATGAAGGTTCGATTAATATAATTAATAATTAATAAATTGTATTGTAATTTAATTTTTATTTTTAAACATAATTAATATTATTATTTTTTTAAATTATGTGATATATATATATATATATTTTTATAAATTAAAACAGAGGGAGTACTATTTAACAAGTGGAGGCAGCCGGCGGGGAGGGGTGGGGGACAATAGGAGGAAGGAGAGGCACGTAAAACCCAAACCGCTGAGAAGACGCAGGTGGAATCCTGGGAAGTTGACACGTGGAAGGGAGGTTGGACGGAGTTTGCCCGCGCACCGGGGCGAGGTCCGGGCGTCCGTATGTCGGCATTTTTGAAAGTTCAAAAATAAGCCCCACCTCCACCCCTTTTTACCACTCCCCCCATTCTCTCTCTCCCACTTCCCTCTCTTGACGCCAACAACGGACCTCCATTAATGCCCGCCTCTCCCTTGCTCTCTCTCTCCTTCTTTCTTAGTATCATCAGCTGCTTGCTCTCACTTCCCCTCTCTTTCTCTCCCTCTGTGGAAGTGAAATCAATGATCTCGCACATTTTAAGATCTGCATTTTTTGTTTTCCCCTTTTTTGCTTTTCTTTCTCACTTCGCTTGCTCTTGTCACGCATTTTTGAATTAGCTGAGAATCCTAGGGTTTTTCTTCCCTCCCGTGATCTTCTCTCAAGCCTCCTCTCTCTTCCTTTCCGCTTCCTTTCCTCTATTATCGATCTTGCTGCCTCCAATTCAGGTATCTTTCATGACTGGTACTGGTTATGGAGAAGTTTCGCCACAAGAGATCCAACGTTCCTACCTCTGCTGATCGCTCCTCCCAACCCCATCCTGCTCTCTCTGAAGGTCTCATTCGCTTTCTCCTTTTCTTTTTCGTTTTTCTTTTTCATCCCTCTTTCCGCCTGGTTTCTCAGTGATGGAGTCGAAGCTGGTTCACCTGGAGAGTTTCTGACTTTCTTGGTCATTAAACGGTTTAAAACTTAACTTCAACTTCTTGCTTGAGCTGTCCAGTACAGCATTTATATACACTTAGAAACAGACACTTTCTAATTCTCAGTGTGAACCTTAGGTGGTTGAAGTCTTCGTCTGGCTTGTATGTTTACTTCAATTAGGCTTGTGAACTGCTTCTTAACTTTTTACTTGGTGCTATCGGTATAATTTTGTTTGGGTTAACAATAAATTTCAGAAATCATGATGTTATATAATTACAATACCTCATTATGGATCGTTTCTAAAAAGCACTTTGTGTCAATCAGTTGTATTCAAAGGAATTTTTTTCCTTAATTCACGCGTAAATGTGAGCATCACGATTTCTTGCCGCTTCTCTTTCAACTGCTTTTACCAGATACTGTAATAAGTAACCCTTATTGAGACCTTTGTCATTGCTTCCTGGCCAGGGTTTTAGTAATTTTAAGTGCATTATTGTCGCTATTTCTAATGCTAATTAAAGCCTTCCTCATTTCTGCTCTTGAATATTCAACCTAATAATGTAGTAAAATTCATTTCCAGGAAACAAGGGGGTTCAGAGACGGAGAAAACATCCTAATTTGCTCCCCGATTCCAGCCCTTCCGCTAGTGGTGTCGCATCTGAAAATTCGGTGAGCCGGTTTTTTCTTTTGTCTCTGGTAGCCTCTCTCCATTAATGCATGATCTGCTTCTTTGCATTTATGAATGAAGAAAAAACTCTTCAAGTTGAATGTTTATTGTATTCACACTTGGATTTTTTTTTTAAATTATCTTTATGAGATTATCTGTTATTTCAAAAGGAATGAAAAGGAATTAATAGATTGGCAGCAATGAACTCATGCATTTTCCACCTTTATTTTGCAGTCGTCATTTAAATTCGGGTGGAGATCTTCAAAACAACTGCTTGGTACTCCCATAAAGAAGTTACTAGCTGAAGAGATGTCGGGAGAAACTGAGTCCAAAAGAAGAGCTCCTAGTGTTATTGCCAGATTGATGGGTCTTGATGGGATGCCCTTGCAACAATCTGCTAATAAGCAACATAAAAGTTCCTCTGAAGTCCATCTGCAGAGAAGACAACAGTTGGAGATAACTCATAGTGGTCGATCATCCAGGAGAAGCTCAGGGGATCAGCAAGAATTTAAAGATGTCTTCGAGGTCTCAGAGATCCCAAAGGCAGAGAGCTGTAGGTATCCGTCCCAGGGTGCTGACTTGATTGCAACTGATGCTGAAATATCATTCATTGAACAGAAGTTCAAGGACGCCAAACGTCTGGCAACTGACAGGGATTCACTCTCTTCAAAGGAATTTGATGATGCACTTGAGGTTCTGGATTCCAACACAGATCTTCTACTAAAATATTTTCAGCGGCCAGATTCTTTATTTAAAAAGCATCTAAATGATCTGCAATCTGCTCCACTTCAATCACATTGTAAATACATAGAAGCTATGAGATCAACAAATATGGAGAAGTATGGACAGCATCATGACTTCAGCTGGAGGTCAGCTCGGGACGCAACCAGGTTGAATTGCAGTGGATCTCATCAGAAGCATCTTGATGGTTATCCTGCACAATTTGACAGAAGGCATGCTGTCCATAGTTCACCAAAATCACCAAAGCTTCAGTTGAGTGGAAAAGACAAACAAGATGCAATCCCCACAAGGATTGTTGTCCTAAAACCCAATATTGGAAAGGTACAGAATGCTACAAAATTCATTTCATCATCTTGTTCTTCACATGCTTTCTTATCAGAGAGTGGAAAGAGTGCTGCATATCCAGATGTCAGAAATAGGGGCCTTGAATTCAGTGAGAGAAATCTTCCTGGTACTGTCGGGTTTTCAAGGCAAAATTCAATGGAATCTAGGGAAATTGCGAAGGAAATCACTAGGCGAATGAAATGTAGTATACACAATGGATCTACAATTTTTGCGTCTTCTAGAATTAGAGGATATGCTGGGGATGATAGTTCTTATGACTTCTCTGAAAATGAATCTGTAGAGGAATCAGAGATAACATCGGCAACCTTGGCAAACTCTGTAGACTTAAGTAATCATAGCAGGCCATCATCCCGTTCAAGTGAATCATCTGTTTGTAGAGAGGCAAAGAAGAGATTATCAGAGAGGTGGAAAATGACGCACAAGTCTCAACAGGGGCAAGCCATCAACAGGGGCAGCACACTGGCTGAAATGCTTGCTATAACTGATAAGGAAATGAATGCAGCAAATTTTAAGATTACGTCTTCTGGGGGAGGTTACCATAATAAGTTTGCTACTAAGAGCACACCTGCTGGGTCGGTTGAACCTTTGGGTATCAGTAGTAAGGATGGTTGGAAGGATGGGTATATGGGAAGTCTGTCAAGATCAAGATCTCTTCCTGCTTCATCCGCAGGATTTGGAAGTCCTAGGACACTTCATGCTGATCGATTTATTATGCCAAAGGAAGCCCTTAAGCGGGAAAGAAGAAAAGCTGCAAAGAGTTTTTATCAGCAGCAAGGTTTGAATACCAGAAACTTAAAATCTGGTCACAAGAAGTCCTGGTCTTCTCATTGTACAAATATGGAAATTTATGATTCTTCACCAGACATGAACACAATCCAAGATAAAGTGAATGCCAAGCCTGAAGAAGATCCACCCAAGATAGAAGTTCCATCATCTGGTTCATTAACTGAGATCCTCAGAGATACAAGTGTGATTACTGAAGATGTGGTGGATGCAGCACTCAAAAGCCCAGCTGGGTCTTCTAAATCTCCTGATCCAGACCTTGGAGAATTACCTTCTGGTATATCAACCAGTGGCAGCCCTAGTGCTGTTGAAGGAGACAGTTTACTGCAGCAGGTTAAGTTTTTTGGATTTCCAGTTGATATGCATACATTTGGGTTCTTTTTCCTTAACTTTGTGTTTTGGTGGGATGTTGCTTCTCTCTACTGTCTGTTTCATTGTTACTAACAAAGTAGTCCAAGGTGAAAGTCACCCTTAAGACACCAGATCTCTATCTTATCTTAGGTGAGAGGCGCTAGAAAGATGCATGTTTAATTGAAGCAAGGTGGTTAAAGTGAGAAAGATATGCAAATTTGGAATAAATTTTGACTTAACCATTCAAGCATGTTCAAGTCTCTAGACATAGTAATCTTCAAAGCACTAATTAAGTCAAGTGCATCACTACTCAATCGCAATAAACATCAATTCATAACTCATAATAATATCAAGTGCACTTCTAAAGTGTTATCAAGTCAGACGTCAAAGTTAACTAATTAATACAACAACAACAACAACAACAACAAGCCTTTATCCCATTAGGTGGGGTCGTTAACTAATTAATGTTACTCAAAAAATGTGCCTGTGGTCCCATGTGACTGTTTTGTAAACTATGAAAAACTAATAATCTAATGATATTTTAAAATAGGAATAACTATTTTAACTTATTTTCAAATCTCTAGGGCTGAGTTGGGCTTTTAAGCTTGGGTTTTGTATTTTCCTATTTTATCCCATTACTGCTTTAATATTGCCTCTTCTCGGCACCTAGCGCACCTAAGGCAAGCACCTCTGACTACCATGGTCACTCTTTTCATATTCTTTTCTCCTCCCGCCTATCTATCATATTGGTCATTTGCAGACTATTTTTTCAAATGTGCATGGTGCTAAAAGGAATCGTATCAAGTCTTAAAACCTATGTTCTTTTTCTAAAATCTAAGGACACCAAGCTCATCTTGTCTTTGCCGCTCTACTTTGTTCCCAAACTTCGCTTAGTTCTTTCATTGTTGTGCATTCTATTTTTAAGCCTGCGTTTTATGTTTCCTGCTTCTCACATGTACGTTGTATACTTCAGGAGCCGTCAGTTGGTTCTTCCAGTGGAAGTTCGGTCTCCTCTCAACCAATTGTACCAGGACTCGAATCTTCATGCTGTAAAGAGGCTGATCAACCAAGTCCAGTTTCTGTACTGGAGCCTTCATTTACAGATGATCTATCATCTTGCTCGGAATGCTTTGAAAGTCTTAGCGCTGACCTCCAAGGTAACTGAATCAGACTTTTGGGTTGATTATTTTACAATGTAGTGTTTAATCACCACCCCTCCTTTTGTCTTCTTTAGTTCTTCCATCATTGGTACGTGATGTGCTTACTCAATTATTGTGGTTATGTTAGGACTTAAAATCCCTAGTAATTACAGAATTAGTTAACTATCATTGTGCAACATGAATAACTTTCTTGTCTTATTTTCAAGGGAAAAAATATTAAATGCAGCTGTTTGATTCCATGACAAATTGAACAATATTTACTGTTATTTGATCCTTGTGGCTTACTCATCTATTTGACAATATTATCTTCTCATCCATTTGAATTGTATGTGGTGGATGAAATGAACAATCATTATTGCAGTTGCACGGATTCTATGAGCAAATATGAAAGACCTTGATAACTGTGATCCACGCATAATAATAGTTCCTTATTAGTTTTCAGTGCCTTCATTACTTCTCAATATTAATGTAAAACTAGTTGTTACTTGAAGGGCATCCTTTTAATTTGTAGTTGAAAATGTTCATCTGAGCTATTACTTCTTTGTCGTGTCATTAATAAATTATCTAATATCTAATTTAATCTTCGTTAGGATATTGTGAAACAATTTCAAAACTGATGTTCGCTAATAGCTTGCTAAATTTTGCCAGAACTGCCTTTGTTACCATATTTACAATCTCTTGCTTATCATGTGATCTTTGGGATTTGAATTGAATTATCTGTTTTATTGGTAAGATCACGAGTCACTAGTACAAGAGTTTGTGAACCGTCTTACTTGCAACTTTGATCTGTTTTGTCATCAATATATCTCCCCCCCGCGGGGGGTGCGTTCCTGGTTTAAACGAACGTGTCCTTCTTGCTAGGTCTTCGAATGCAACTTCAGCTGCTAAAGTTGGAATCCGAAGAATGTGTTGAGGGACCCATACTGATTTCAAGCGATGATGATCGTGGGGAAGCATGTCTTGGAATTTCAGAAGGGAATGGATTACGTGGAGATAGCTGGGAGTCTTCCTACATTATTGATGTCTTGTCTGAGTCTGGCATTGATGGGGCCTATCCCCTTTCTTATTCGGAAGGATGGTACTCTCCCGAGTGGCCTGTGAGTCCAACAGTGTTCGACGAACTTGAAAAGAGGTACTCTGATCGTAGTGCTTGTTCAAGGCCTGAAAGGAGGATGCTTTTTGACCGTGTGAATTCGGGCATCGTTAAGATCTACAAGCAATTTGAGAATGATCGGCCATGGTTAAATCCCAAGGTAACAAATATTGGTTCCAGACTGATGAAAAAGAGGCTCCAAGATGATCTGTGCACTTTGCTGAAGAGCCAAGAAAAAGTAAAGGATGACGCTCTGGGAAAGGTGCTTGTGATGGAGTCGGAGTGGTTGGACGTGAGAGATGACGTCGACACAATAGGGTGGGAAGTTGAGAGATTGCTATTAGATGATCTAGTGGCAGAAGTCGCTGGTTCATTAGACATTTTGACCCCAAAGTAGGGAGCCGCGTCTTATGTAGATCAATTAGTGCAACCGTAATTTCATCGAAAGATGAATAAAGAGGATCATAATCTCTTTCATGAAACCGAATTTCGAATTTCTATGTGGGAAATATATATATATATATGTGTGTGTGTGTGTGTGTGTGTGTGTGTGTGTGCCTTAGAAGCCGTGTCGCATCTTGGGAAATTTTGCATTTATGGCTTCATCAACGATTGCTGGTATGCTAGAGATGCTGTTGGTGGCAATGCTTCGAAGAAGATGGAATAAAAAAATTTATGAGATCTTACATTACATTTGATTTTAATTTTTATGCGAAATGAAATGAGAATGAACGTTGTTCCTGAATTCAAATACGAAGCAGAAGAGATCTCTCTATGGAAGTGAACGCGCCTCCATGCATTTCTGAACTCATGCTAGTACAAGTCCATTGATCTCGTATCTCTGAAAGAAAGTTACACAAACATAAACATGTGATTGAGATATTCCTGAATTCAATTGTTATTAAAATGCAGTATTCTGCTCCACCGCCACGCCTCAACCGAGAAAGGAGAAATGAAGGAGAAAATGATGAATCAATTAAAGAGGGAAGTTGTTTTGGCAGTGTGGCAGAGTAAAGTGGGATTTGACGTTAAGTCGTGTGGGTGGCAGAGACGCAGTGATCATCAAAAATCAATGATCAAGGTTTTGGAGTGATTCTTCAAAGAGTTGGTGGGTCAGGTTCCTGGTAAAAGAGCTGGCCCAGCCAAAGGGCAGTTTGTGTTCTACCAAACACGGACGGACCTATAGCTTGATAATAGGGAGGGCCAAAGTAAAAATAAAATGAAGAATGGGGGATCAAAATATAATTTAAATTATTTTACAAATAAAAAATAATAATTTTTACCAAAGGGCCACTGATGCATGGATGATAAGAACCACCATTCTGTCATTGGTACCAAACTAGCAATTTTAGGGCAATGGAAATATCTTTCTAGACTAATTAAAGTTTGCATGAATGGTGGATATTTTTTAATTATAACCTAAATATAGGGAACAATTTAGTTAAAAAAAAGATCTACCCATTACTTTGACTAACAACAAAGTCTATATAGCTATTTCTTCTACTTACCAAATACCAAAAAAATAAATAAAAAAAGATGTCTCCTCATCTTTCTAGACTCATTATTGTGCATTAGTAGTTCAAGTCTTGAACTTGTACAATCAAACTGCTTTCTAGATCAAAGATCATCACTGTAAAAAGTTCAAAATAAATTGTGAATGTGCTAGCTTGTAACTGGTCTTGATTCAATAGTATTTTACAATGTCGCAAGAGGTTTTGCCAATATTTTGAAACCCAAACCAGATGTTGAACAAGAAGGAAAATGGGGTTGTGATTTTCATGGCTCAATTGGTTAGACAGGAAGTCAAACCAATGATATAAAAATTAAATAAAAATAAAATTTATATACACAAATATATAAATAAAACATTACTTTTGTTGATGGTGCTTGGATCTCGATGTCAAAGGCTAAATATTTGGATCATTGGAGTTAAAGGTAGATGCATGTCAGCACAAGCTTGTTATCTTGAAGTAAAATGTTAGAGTTAAAGGCATGCCATCATGTCATGACTCACGAGCTTTTGATCTCGATACCAAAGACTAGAGTGCTAGAGTTGGAGGGAGAGGTCAAAAATTAAGCTTGGGTCATGAAAGAGAGATTAATGATTAGAGAAGAGAAGACATAAAAGAGCTAGAGATTAGGAAGAGAAATCATGAATCTAGGCAACTTGGACTAAATTTTTTTTTTTATTTTTTAGCTTTGAACTAGGGTGACCCACTGCATTTTTCAAATCAAATGCGATTCTCTTAAAATCAGTTGGGTCAACTTGATCTAAATGCTAAATTGGTCTAATTGGTTGGACCAAGCCATTTTGATTAGCAGCTGGTGATTGGATCGTTTGATCAGGTCCAGTTTGGTTTTCAAAACACTGGCCCTCTCGGTTTGGTTAAAAACCTAAGCTGAATTCAGATTTTTTTAAAAAAAATGAAAATTATCCCTTTCTCTGGCCCTCTCGGTATTGTGACGATGTTTCAAAGCTATCAGGCCCATAGCCCATCCCTCGTGGCTTTTTATCCAGGCCTGTTCATTACGGCCCTACCATCCCCGGGATATAATGACAGCTGGCAATACCTCACGCAAATCCTCTCAAATGGTTTTGGACTTTGGGCTTATAAATTTAGATCATCACAATTCATCCCATTTCAAATATTAGGGTTCGAAGTTCGTATGTGTAAAGCGAGCTAGCGGCTTTTAGTTCTTGCTACCGCTTTCCAGAGAAGTGTATTATCTCCACTATTGTTTATTTAGGAGTTTCTTTTTCTCAAACTGTTTTGCTCCTCTGCCCTTTTCTTTCTGTCTGGTTTGCCCTCACATTGTTTCAGCAATTTATTCGAAACTTTATCTAACAAGGTGTCAGATTATTATGTGATAAATATATAATTTAGTTCAACTTTATTGGCTTCGCCTTCATATTTTTATAATTGTTCCCACCGTTAATGGCAAATGATGAAAAAATTCTTATCCTACACACTGAATTTACTCAGTGTGTGGACCATTAACTCTGCTTATTATCTGCTGCCAATATTTTATGAATTGCATGGTGATGATAAACTTAAAGTGTACCTTTTAAAGTTACCTTAATTTTTGTTGCAAGTTACAAGTGATTTGGTGGATCGTTCTGGAACAACCAGTTTTACTTAAAAAGGGTGTGTATTTTGTGGTGATGAGTTACTAAATACATTTGCAAATACGAGATATATTAGTGAGTGAATATGCTCTCTCTGAGCAGGATGCATACCCAGTTTCTGGATTTATTTTTGTAAGGCAAGTCTTTGTTCGGTAAGATGAGAAATGATTTTTGTATTTTATTTTTAGAAAAATGGAAAAAATTGAGAGTTATTGAATGATGATTGCAGACATCTACTAAATATTGGAACGTGTAAACAAACCACCATTGTCGCGGAAGAAATGCAGATGCTTGCTAGACATGAATCATGATCGTAGATATATAATAGGTATTGGAATGAAGAAATACAAACAAAATGGAAAATAGTGCAATTTTCAACTTTATTATTAATAAAATCATTGCCTATGATACTGCTTTAACAGAATTAATGTGTTTGGGGTCACCATTGTAGCAAAAGAAATGCTTCAGACTCTGTTGGACCTCAGGGCTCAGAACTTATGGTCCAATCTCAAAGAATTCTGGCCTCAACTAATTGTGATTTGTGAGCGATGCTACTCACATTTCATTTTCATTTTTAAGTCATTGACATCTATATTGTGGTTAATTGACACAAGAGGGGCGCAAAGCATAAATAAAGTTCAAGTTCTTTGATTCACTTTTCAATGTTTATATTGTATGGTATTGTATTGTATGTTTTCTACAGCCTAAAGATGGCCAAAAAACTATATAACCTAAATATGAAGTAAATAATTATAACTTACATATATAGTCATATGGAAGCCAGCGAAACTGTTGTCTTGCTCTTGTCCTTTAATGTGTAACTTGTAGCACACTTAATTTACCATCTAATTGATATCACAGGCCATAATTTATTGAGTCACTATCATGTATCTGCTACAACCCGGCTTTCAAAACCCATTGAACTATTGGCTTGTCATTTGTCACGCCACACTTGTGCTTTCTTATTTTTACGCCTTTGTTGATGATGGACAGGTCTATCTTCATATCGAAGGTTTTCAAAGCCTTTGGATGGTTTGGAGAATTTCGGTGAAAAAGGTTGAAAAATCAAAGGGCTATATTGGAATTATATTCATTTTGTTATTTTAAAAACTGATGTTTTAAAAAACATGTTTTAAAAATAAAAAATAATAAAAATAAGTATTTTTTATTTTCCTTATTATTTAGAATAATAATCCAGAATTCTTTTTTGTTTTCTATTTTCTAAAACAATATTTATTTTTTAATTTTTTAAAATATTTTTTGAAAATATGTTATCAAATAAGTTGTTTTATTTTTTTGTTTTAAAAAATAGAAAATTATTTTCAAAATAAGCTGTGAAACAAGGCCAAAATTACTCTGGGCCAATTACAAAGCAAGTAACATCAACAACTTGAAATTCATATTGGAATCTACCCTACTCATGAAAATAACAACCTATCACCCACCATTATGTGGTTTTCATTAAATAACATGTAAAGAAGAAGAACTTGTTTGATTACTTCTTGTTCAAGAACTGAGAAGGTAACCTTTGGCCAGCATTAGAATTCATAAGGAGTCTTGATCTTCCAATTATATCACATCATGTGATTTAAGGTACGGGAGAGACATTAAAAACCTTAAAAAGAGAGAAAAATAAAAAATATTATTAAACTGGACCGTGTCGAGCAGCACAATGGTGTGGCAGGATTGCAGCAAAACGCCAAAACCTTAGGGATACAGACATACTGTGTGATTATGAGATTGGGCCACAGCCTAGCTAATTTCAAATCCAATTTAATCGTACTAAATAAAGTCCAACCTCTTGCATGCTTTCAGAGAATTCAAGTAAACTTCCTAATGTTTGCATTACTGCTAATTGCATGAGTAACCCATTCACCTTCAAATTATGCATCTTTTTTCCTCGTCAACTAGATTAAATTTGTTGTCTTTGTTTCAGCAATGCCAGATCCAACTGCTGAGGCTGATGTTGGCCAAAATTGTGCATTCTTTACCTTTGATACACTTGCCAACATGCTCAGTGGAGTCACATCTCTAATTATTGCCACCTTCTTTGCTGCCAAATCTATATTGAAGGAACTCACCCCTACCCACATGATTCACAATATTAACCATGTACATCTTTCATTGGGGAAATTTACTGGAGTGCAAAACTGAGGCAGATTTTAGTTTATTGAAAAAAAAGTAAGATCTTTGATGAATATTTCTTAAGCCCAACGCCTAATTGAGGTTTTAAAGAATTTAAAAGGTTGATAGATACCATCCATTCTTGAGAGATACTTTCTCACTTTTCCTACACAGCCTTTGCAGTGTAGAGAAACTCTCAAAACCACAACCTGTAGGAAACATTCATTTAAGTCATAGCCAATAGAATTTGAGTCTACATACCTTATCC